AATCATGAAAAAATTGTGTCAATCGAATCATTTAAATATTTGGGCATATACGTAGACAGTAAATTAAAATTTGAAGGGCCCTATGAATATATTATTGCAAAAATATCCAAGAAAATAAATTACTTTTATAGAATTTCGCTTAGCCTAAGCGTTTATTCTAAAAAAAAATGTGTACAACACTATCATTCTTCCTCAGTTGTTATATTGTTCGACTATTTTGTTCTCTGCAAATGAAACTGTATTTTCAAAATTACAAATATTACAAAATAAAGCTATGAGAATCATCTTAAATAAAAATAAATATACTAGAATAAATTTTATGCTGAAAGAACTACAATATTTAGATATCAAACATTTTATAGCCTACTTGGTTTTCATTTTCATATTCAAGTTAAAAAATCATCTTCTAGCAAATCACTTAGAAAATTTTATTGTATTGAACAATGAGTGCCCCAATTATTCTACTAGAGGAAGTATAGACTTTCATTTACAAAACTACAGTAGCAATATAACGAGCAAGTCAGTATTTCAAAAGGGATTGTACGAATTTAATAAATTATGTAATGATATCAAGATGAGTGTCAGTTTGAAAAGGTTCAAAGGGAAATTGAAAAATATCTCATGGTAAACCACAATTCATAGTAGTGAAATTTTGAATAAAAATATGTAGTCTTGAAGACCTAATATATTTTGTGATACACTGTGTAATGTGATATTATGGACATTGTAGCATTAATGCTAAATAAATCTGAAACAAACAAACAAAGGACAAAGTCAATATTGAATAAAATTGCCAAAATGGTTTTTATTTTTCACGCGAAAACGGTGCATCAAACGGAAAAACGAGGTAAAATTTGTTGCAAAATAAGTGAGGATTTCAAAAATGATTTTTATTTTCGCAAAAAATAATGGCCTACCATATTTTTTTAAATCTCCAGTCACATCCCGTACGGACGCCACTGGTTGAAATATTAAAAAATGTTCTACATCAAAACATGCCTATTGGTGCTTAGTAGGTGCATGTCGAATTTCATGAAAATATCTAGAAAAGTATTAAAGTTTAGGCAGAAGCGGTGGCCGCAGTAGCAGACTCTTCGGTCTCCTGATCAGTCGCCGTGCGCTGTGCGGGTTGGAAGCCCGTCCCAGGAGAAATTTTTCTCTTGACTATGGATGTTGTGATTGTCCGTATTTGGTAGACGGTCTCTGACTGTCGAACGCGGAGGTATCACCCGGAGGATCTCGTAGGCGGAGCCAGAATGTGGGCATGTTACATGCACACGTGTTCCCTCGCCAGAGTCCGTGTGGCGTTCCCCATTTCCCCTGTATCCCCCTATAGCCCCACGGTACCCCATCGGTGTTTAGGCCTTAGGCCTTCGTGGTGGTTGGAGTATATAAAAAAAAAGTTATGATAAGGAAACGATTTTTTTCTTAAAATTTAACACCATGCAGCTCAAAAGTTAGTTTAGGACATATGTTCATATAAGCTTTTCTTCATAAAATGAGGTAAGGAATCATATCCTGTACTTTTAGCGATCATGGAGAAGGCAAACAAACCAGTCAGATTAAATACAATGAACCAACAGAAGATATACGAGGAACAAGTAAACATACAGCTAGACAGTAAAAACCAAGTAGACGGTGTCAATGAGAGATGGAATAAAATAAAGGACGCTATGAACAAGGCAGTCAGTACCATAGATAGGAAAATAACAAAAAAAAAATGTCATGGTTTAACGACGCATGCAAGGCAGAACTGGAGAAGAGAAATGAAGTCCGATTAAAGGCAATAAAAGAAAATACAGAAGAATCCAGAAAAGAATACTCAGAACAAAGGAAAAAACAAAAGCATTACCGAGAAGGAAGAAAAGAATCAAATTTGAAAATTTCCTAGCTAAAATAGAAGAAAATTACAACAAGGAGATAATGAACCTCTATCAGGGAATTAAACAGGAAAGGAAAGGATACCAACCCAAGACGATTATATATAAAGATATCGAAGACAGAATAGTAGCACAAGAAAAACAGATTTTAGAACTATGCAAAAACTACTTTAACAAGCTCTTAAGCACAGAAGAAACAGAGGTTACCGAAGAAGAAAATGAAAGGGAGATATTTGATAATATTCCATAGAAGACAACGACAAAGCACCAACATTAACCGAAATACAAGAAATAATAGGTAGATTAAAAAATAACAAAAGCCCAGGAGCTGACAGCATCACTGCGGAAATGTATATATATGAAAAAATACCAGAAGGGTGGACTAACGCAATACTATGCCCAATATATAAGACAGGAGATAAGAGCAAATGTCACAATTCCTCAATTGCACTAATGAATATTGTTTATAAAATATGAACATCGCACATGAAGAATCTACTGAGAAAAAGTATGGAAAGCATCGTAGGGGAATATCAGACCGGATTTAGACGCGGAAGAAGCACAATAGACCAAATCTTCGTACTACGAGAAATACAGGCAGAAAGTTACGAGCACTTGAAGCCGACAGGATTATTCGTTGACTTCAAACAAGCATACGATAAGGTAAATCGAAAATGATCGAGGCTTTAAGATTAATGGGAATCGAAGAAAAACTTATTAGACTGATAACGATATTAATGAAGAAGATAGAAAATAAAGTCAAAATCAACAACGAGTTATCGGATTCTTTTGTAGTTAGAGGAGTCATACAAGGAGACCCACTTTCGTCAGTTCTGTTCAGCCTATGTCTTGAAAGATTATAAGAGCTGCGAAAATAAATACAGAAGGATTACTTTATCATCAGAAACACCAATGCTTAGCATTCGCTGACAATTTAGTGATCATAACCAGAAGTAAGGAGGAATTATGCAAAGTGACGAAGAGGCTAGAAGACAAAGCACTGTCAATGGGTTTGGATATTAACGAAGAAAAAACTAAGTATATGAAATGGACAGAGTTTAAAAATGAAAGGTTAACAGTAAAAGCAGCCAGTGGCAAAACTTACCAATTTGAAGAGGTAGAAATGTACACGTATTTAGGAACTGTTTTTAAAAGAAGACCAGATATTGCGGAAGAAATTCAGAATAGGTTGATGATGGGTAACTGGTGTGTTTACTCACTGAATCGACTACTAAAGACTAAAATCGTGTCCAGAAAGGCTAAACTAAGGTTTTATAAAACTATTATAAGTCCTATTGTCATCTATGGCAGTGAATTATGGACATTAAAGCAGAACAGAACAAAATCGCTATTTGGGAGAGAAAAATCTTACTCAAGATATTCGGTGGGAAGCGGGAGTGCGGTAGATGGGTGCGGAGAACGAACAAAGAACTGCAATCTCTTTATGGTGAACCTGATATAGTAGGAACAGTGAAAGCGGAAAGATTGAGATGGTTGGGACATGTCCAAAGGATGACGGAGACCAGAATACAAAAAAGAGTAGAAACAAGCAATATTGGTAGAAAAAAGAGGCGAGGATGACCGAAAACCACATGGAAAATGGAAGTGGAAATGGATATTCAAGAGTTAAGAATTAACAATTGGAAGAAGAAGGTAGTAGACAAGAAAAGCTGGCGACAGGTTACACTGGCCTAGCCTCGAGTATTGATCACACGTTTGGGGTGCTGCCGCCCCGACTACATTATCTATGCTCGATGCTGTCCAGATATATATACAGGGAGACTTTGAAGTTGAGTCATTAATTTTCAGATAATGATTGTAGAAGGAAGATAAACCAAAATATGTGTGTAAAAATAAAAAAAAATTAAAAAAAATTTTTTACCTTGTTTTATAAAGTATCCTCCCGGCAAGTATTTCAGTGCGGACCTGTATTTGATCGTGAGGTCCCCTGTGAGGTCTTAAGTCACCTGATTCACGAGCCCGTTGTACTACATTAACAAAGGCACTAGGGGTTGGTTGCACTCGAATGGGAAACCGATCCGCATAAACATGTGCCATTTTTTATTTCGTTTGAGCCACGCAACAGATACCACTATTCACTGACACTGACTGTATACAAATGAATGAAATAATTGTAAAAACATCGTTCCAAATTCTTTCGCTTTTTTGTTTCCGATGCGATGAACCGATACGGCGGATTATATCCGTTGTCGCCAAACACGAGCACATAATATTATTATTGAGACAGGGTGGTACTCAAACTTCCAAAGGGCTATAACTTTGTTACTTTAATTTTACCAGAAAAATGGTAAAGGAAAAAACATTTCTTTTGATCAGATCTACTCACTGTTAAAATAAATGACTCAACTTCGAAGTCACCCTGTATATATATTACGTAGATCGCGAAAAGTTTGACGAATAGAACATGAGTTTTTATAATAGATTTTAACAATTGCGATGCGTTCTTGCACAGTATAGTGTTCCATGGTAAAATAGTGACTATGACAGAACACAAACATCGAGGAATGATAGCCATGCTAACTGAAATGTCAGAGCAAGATGTTGCCAAATTTCGGACATAGCTATTGAAAAACCCTTTACTTACATAGAAGTTTCTATGTTCTTCAGCTAAGCAGGGTAGAAATCTAGGTTGAAGGCCGAAAATTACAAACCATCAATGTGTTAATTTTCCGCAAATATGTGCTTTCTGGGTTTACGAATCCAACGTCCATGGTCGTTTTTCTCAATAAAACTTCAAAACGGTAAATTTTCATGTTGATTAAGAGTTTTTTTGTCATATTTAAAGAAGACAACGCTAGTCCACGAGTGACATACGGATGACGTTTCTGTGTTTACAAATTGTAAGACGTAACGTCATGGCCGAGTGTTTTCACCGTTTCGTATTAAAAATAAAAAGTATATTTTTTAAAGTTGGATTCATGAATCCATCTTGCGCTTTTACAATTGAAATTAAGATATTCCGATTTCCTAAGCCAAATACTGTAAAAAATACTCATTTATTCTACAAAATTAGATATGAGTCAAGTAGACTATTTTAACCATCGCATGACAATAAGATAAATCATTGAAACGATCAATAATGCATACAGAATCACTCACCATACTAGTATTTACAGTATATTTATTGTTGTTGGTAAGTAGTAGTTTTGCCTTGGGCTTATAAATTTTCTCCTGTGCTTCAGACGAGTCCGACGAACTGGAGTAGAGTGTCTGCAGGTACTGCCTCACTTCTTGAAGAGTCATGTGAATAGGTTCGCCCTGTATGTGAGTCGAAGTACCTGCCACACTATGCCTTTTATTGTCGTTCTGGTAGCATTGAGACTGGAAGAAAAAAATCCTTGAATATAAAAAGTAAATTCGGGCATATTTCCTAATATACTGATTCACCATAATGAATTTTTCCAACTATTAGTCGTGTACCGGCTTTCACAATAGGCTAGTTGACACTTTTTTAATAAGGTCTTAAATAGATACTATTTCTTCTGTTAGACCCAAAAAGCTAATCTTTTTCAAGCCTAATAGGCTGTAAAACTTTAACTCAAAAATATGTTTTTCTTGGGGCCAATTCCACCAACATTAATATATGACCGTCAGTTGGACCAATAGGAAAAGACCTTATCGAAATGAAATCTGACGGAAGCTGTCAAAGCTCTCTAAATATTAGTGATTTCTATCGAAATGTTGAATAAAGTCGTGAAAAAATGGTTGCCTTATAAATAAGGGTACATTATAGATGTAATATTATGTCTTTGTGCTTTAGAATTAGGATAACTTTAGTAGAATTTCAAATTTTTATCATTTCAGAAAAGACGGTCAGTTATTTAAATGGACCAATGAAAATGAGAGAAATAATAGGTCGATTTTCTAGCTATTATATTTGGTAGGATGTTTTCACTGTTTTCGACGACTGTTCATGCATGGCAATCTAGTTTTGTCTGTATATCACGTACAGGGTGTTGTACATAATACGTACCTGTAGAAATGTACCGATTTTTGTTATTTTGCAAGAAAAGGATATAAAACGTATTCATCAACTGATTCATCATCTTTTGATACATCAAAAACAATTTTTGCCAATTTCTGGGTCCTAAAACATCGATATTTGTAAAAGTATCCGCATCCACCTATTATTCATCGTCTAGATATTATGCCAGAATCAAAAATACCTATTTATGAAAATATATCTCCAAATATTGTTTTATTTTCTTATTATTTCTATTATTATAGCACGTCTGGGATATCAATTGCTTGTAAAGCGATCTCTACATCTGCAGTGTTGCCGAACCGGTAAAAAACAGAATCGGTAAATAGTGTCGTTGAATTCGGTATACCGTAAATACCGTCCCAAGATCATAGATCAAGGACCTTTGAGTCATGAAAAACGTCTGTTATTGTATTGGGCGCGCACACAACATGTTCTTTGAGGGCATAGTTCTATATTACAACTTCTACGATGTGCATACTGGTTGCTCTTTCAAAGTACTTTGCAACCATTCTGGAAACTCCTTTTTCGATTCTTGCTTATAGGATTGTGAATATTTTTCTGTTTTACCCCTGAACTCATGAACACACCTCTCATTTTAATTAAATATTTATTTTGAAAACAGACAGGTTGCGGTTTCTTTATTGCTTGTCCGGTGATGAGGTAATGACGGTAATCTACCAGTCTGTACCTTTTGTATGTACAAAAATCAATCCAGGGCAAGCGGAGTAAGGGATGAGGATGTGCGTTCGTAATCATAGGCAACACCCAAATCTACGCCTCTCATGTGCCCGCCTGCCTAAGTGTGTATGCATATGTATGATTGATATGGGGAATAAAACTATGTAGACTACATAAAATTAACTTTTAGCTTTATTTTCGGTTTCAGCTCTTTTTCGGAAAGTATAGAAATATTTAAATTATTTTGAAAAATCGTGGAGAATGATGTTATCGGTAAATATTCTCTTTTCGGTAAAAATACCGAAAAATCCGGTTCAGGTCCATGCACAGACAATCTGAAATTTGCAATGTGAATTTACATTCTAAATTCTATGCATATCCGTTCATATTCTTCAATATTTCATTTGGAGCTTTTATTTGTCATAAGATTTTAACAAAATGTAAGATAGTAAAGGCAACACCGCACCCTGCAGCCCAGTTGACAAGAACGACAAGCTGTCAAGATTAGGGATGTTTAGATTAACGAAAAGTATCGATATGTATCGATTCTTATCGTTTTAGGAAGTATCGATACTCTAAAATATTGGAATAAAATTTTCAAGTGTTGTGCAACGATTTTGGGAAAAATTCCACGTTACTCGTAGTCTTATAAAGCATAGTAGAATATATTTCAACAGTTGGCGGAGCTCACTTCACTGGGACCAAGGGTTGACAGATCCCACGGATGTGTCACTCGTTGGGGAGTTTTGAAATGTAATAATCAGCTGTTATTCAAATAATGTCTAATATAAATATAACCTAGCATGGGTACTCAGTGAAACAAGAAAGTTATTGCAAATTCTATTTTTTTGCAGGTTTTAAGTTTGCCGGTAGCGACATATATTTGAGTATTTCTTAATCGCTGTAAATATAGTGTGGATGTTTGTTCAGTTCCTGAACAAGCAAAAAATATTTGACTATGGATGTATGGATATCAAAAATCCAGAATGGTTTTGTGGGAATATCAATCGACGGTGCTATGTTGGTACTGATGAACGGCAAGTAAATGAATGAATGTTTGGTAACGAGCAATATCTATAAAATTTTTGGTAGAGCCTATCATCAAGTAGGTTCTTAATGGCTATCTCCAAGAGGTTTATAGGAAAAGAACACACGGTAGGTGCTGTTGAATCAGTAAAATCGCATATCAATTGAAGAAAATAATATAAACATGAATAAACAATCGACAATTTCAAATAAAAACATGAGTTTTTTCAAAAATCGAAAACTTTTTTAAATTTTGACTAAACCACATGTAATTTCTTGATATTCAATAAGCTGGTGATGTTTCAATGACAAGCTATCATCGCATACTTTGACAGGATTTTGTTTTCAACATTTCATAGCTACTGGTTGCTAAAATTTGTTGATTGGAACTTTCAAGCTCATTCGCTGTATTTAACTGACTGTTACCCTATAGTGGAGAATAACAGACTGTTGATTTGACAATCCTGGTGAAATCCACCGTTAGAGAAACAAATATATTAATGTGTCCAGGGAAATAAATATATGCAACAGTGTGTATTGCAGAAAAAATAGGTATTCAAAGATTTCCATAAAAAACACCCTGTACCTTCGAAACGGATGGGCCGATTTTAACAAACTTGGGCTAGTTGAAATGGGCTATTCTTGGGCTACAAATGTTATAGTATTTGAAGTTTTGTTAGTTTCACTTGTGCTCGCTAGATGGTTTTTCAGACGTTCCCACAGAAATGGTTAATTTTCTCAAAAAAATTAAAATAAGTTTATAAAAATTTAAGGGATTTCCGTATAAAATTTTCTTTGGCATAAATCTTAGGTAAGGAACAAGATATCGAGATGCGGTTTTCGCGAGCTTGCTTAGACATCATTCAGCAACTTTTTCATAAAAAAAACCCTTATCAATGCATTTAAATTTTTTGTCAAAAAAAAGCCCTCTACTTTGAATACCCTCACCACTTTATTTTTAGAGATACAGCAAAAGTTGCCAAGCAAAAAAAGTTCATATTATCATCGACTTTAAAGATCAGGTATTTTTTTGTTAGGTTAATATAGCGGATTTCACAGAAACATCACTTTTTTAGATTCAAGATTGCAGATACGCCCCTAGCGGCCTTTTCAGAAACTTGTAAATATTGTCCAGATTTTTCTCTTGCCCGTTTTAGTAATAACTGTAAACATATTATCTGTGTTTTAGGATGAAGAGGACAATGTTTTTATTGCTTTAAAGAAATTCATTAGCCCGTAAATTAATAAATATTATGATGTAAAGGAAGATGAGGAATTGGATGGAATGTATTATTATTATATTCTATTTTCTTGCAAAATACAGACAAATCCACATTATTCGAGGTATGTAGCTATAATGATAGCACATAAACACTCAGTATATTGAAGTTAACAAATTCGAGATTGCCATGCAATAACAAACGTCCAAACTTGCTGCCAAATTTAACAGCTAGAAAATCTACCTATTATTTCTCCCATTCGCTGAGGGGATTGTCAAATGTACACTTATAACATAAATCAAAATACATGAACGTTGTCCTGTTTTCTCTGTACAAAAGCATGTTGGAATCAAAAAGTGGTCTTGTTTATAATACAACCGCTTTTTCACAATTTCATTCAACATTTTAATAGAAATCACTGATATTCAGAGAGCCTTGACAGCTTCCGTCAAATTTCATTTCGATAAGGCCTTTTTCCATTGGTTCAAGTGACCGTCAAATATTAATGTTGGTGAAATCCAATTTTAAACAACTTTCTCGCCAATAGAACTCTTTGGGCTCACCTTATCACTTGCCTTACAGCTGCTCTTCCTGACCACTTCTGTTTCAACAGCATTAGCAGCGCATCTCTGATCTACCTCTCTACACGCTCCCCCTGCAGTATTGCGCCGCTGCCTTTTCTTGGCAAATGGTTGCAATTTTTTCGGTTTCGCTATAGACACAACCGGTGGCGTAGGTTTCACTACGTCTACAGGAACAGCGTACACATCACTGTCAAAAGGTACTGTGTAGAGGTCGCTGATCTGATGCGGCGATAACGTGTCATGGGATACAGCCTGCGTTATGAAAGTAGAGTCGTCTACTTTGTGAGCCGTTGGAACGGAACTGAAAGAGGGAAATCTCGGGTTAAAAGAGCTAGTTTTGTTTAATTATACGCGGCATATTCGTAAATACGAGGGTGGTCCCAGAAGTACCCGACCTGACCTAGAGATGGCGATAGTTGTTTGAAAAATATCATTGTATTAGAAAGTATGGAACCTTTAAAGCATATGTGTGAAGTTTGAAGACGCCACGTTGTTTAGTATTTGTTTGGCAGCCATCAATACTGAATGTTTTCAGTGAATTTGTGAAAATGGAGAAAATTAGTCATCGTTATGTGGTACAATACTTTTATTTCAAAGGCCTCAGCCCGAGCATCGCAGTGGTCGACCAATTGAGGTGACGACTCCAGAAATGGTGAAGAAAATTCACAAAGCGATACTGAATGATCGTCGACTGAAAGTGCGCGAGCTAGCAGACATAGTAGGCATTTCAAAAAGTGCGGTTCATCGCATTTATCTGAAAATTTGGACTTGAGAAAGCTGTGTGCAAGATGGTTGCCGCGATTGCTCACAGTCGAGCAAAAACAGTGTCGTGAAGGTGTTTCAATTGAGTGTTTAGCGAAGTTTCACAGCAACAAAACAGAATTCCGTTATTGCAATGACCAAAATTAACGAATTAAAGTTTGAATTGCTACCTCATGCACCCTATTCACCAGATTTAGCCCCCTCGGATTATTTTCGGTTTTCAAACTTGAAAAATGGCTCAGTGGTCAAAGATTTTCCAACGATGAAGAAGTGATGTCGGCAGCTAATTGCTATTTTGAGGAGCAAGACAGTTCTTATTATAAAAAGGGTATCGAACTCATTGAACTTCGCTGGGAAAAGTAAAAAAGTATATAGAGCTCAAAGGAGATTATGCTGAAAAATAAATACATTTTTTTACAAAAAAATTGTGTTTTCTTCGTTTGGTCGGGTTCTTCTGGGACCACCCTCGTAGAGCGCCATTTGCGTATATATAATTATTGGCGGTTTTTACAAAGTTGAATTCGTGCAGCACCATTTGTTGATTGTCACTGAAGTTATTGCGTTGAAATAACAGCCGAGTATCTAGTAATATTTCACAATTATCCATATCCTCCTATTCAGGAATCTGAAGTTCTGTCCCCTATTAAGAAACTGAAAAACAAAATGACATCTGGCCAGGACAATATACCATCATTTTTAATCAAGAATACTACCTCCGCGATAATTACTCCTCACACCTTTTTATACAACAGCCAATACTTTTCCAAATATGTGGAAAACAGCGAAAGTCTGTCCTATGTGACAAAAATAATATTACTAATTATAGGCCTGTCTCAATTGTTTCTATGTTCGCAAAGATCTTTGAGATAATTTTGCACAGCCGCATTTATTCGGAAATTGAGAATCCGCTCTCGCTTTATCAGCATGGATTCACTGTTATCGCTAATTCAATAATACTCAATATACAGGGTGTTCCTTAATGATATGCGGATAACTAAGGGTGTGAATCTACAAGAAAAATTAATCTTAGTTTGCTTTATAAACTATGGTCCAAAAATATTTCCTTACAAAAACTCGGGGTGTTGAAGTTTTAGGAAAAAATGGAAATTAATTAATATTTTCAGAACCGCTTCAGATATTTCACTGATACTTAGTACGTAGCGAAAGTTAATAAAGTTGCATATTTTTCAATGCAAAAATAATTTTTAGCTTTACCAGTGGCATGCGTACGGGTATTGACTTCGATATTTTTTTAGAAAAAAAGAGTGGTTTCTTACCAAATAAAAATTGTTTTTGGATTTCCCGTCCAATTCAAATCAAATGATCTCTCTTGAGTTGTTTTCCTTCGATGCGCCATTTTTGAGTAAAAAAATAAAAACCGTTCTATTGTCCGAGAAAATTAATGTAATAATTGAAGAATGCAATTTAGCAATAAATATGTAGTTGCTCTGGAATATGTCACTGACTTTTGTCATCTGACAAGTTTCTGTTATTCAAATCTGTTCGCTGTGACATCTTTTTCATTATTTAGTTTTTACAATCTTGTTAATGGCAGAAATGCATTACGTATATGGCCTTGCCGACGGTAATGGTGAGCAAGCCAGACGGATTTATTATCAGAGATATCCCGATCGTGCTTTGCCTGATAGTAGAACCTTTTCTAATATTCATCGTCGTCTTGTTGGAACTGGTTCTGCCCGAAAAGGAACATCTGAAGATAGACCTCTAAGTGTGAGAACACCTGAAATTAAGGAAGCAGTGCAGCACGAAGTCGCAAAACATCCTGAAACGAGTACGAGGAAGATCGCTAGACACTTAAATATTTGCCATCAAATTGTTTTGTGAATTTTAGTGGATTTTTTGTTATATCCTTACCATATTTTAAGAGTACAGGCCCAGGCTTCCCATTAATTTTCCAAGGCGTGTGATCTTTTGTCAGTGGTATCTTCAAAAAATTACACAAAATCCGCAATTTGAATCAATGATTCTGTTCACGGACGAAGCTAATTTTTCTCGAAATGCCATTCAGAATTTCCACAACATTTGTGAAGAAAATCCCTATGCCGTAACCGAAACCCATTTCCAACACCAATTTTCGGTTAACGTATGAGCAGGAATTATTGGCAACCACTTTATTGGCCCATTCTTCTTGCCGTTAGTAATAAGAAACAATATGTGGTACATGCATGATGGTGCACCAGCGCATTTCAGTGTAGCGGTTCGTAATTATTTACAAACTGTTTATCCAAATCGTTGGATTGGCCGCGGTGGGCCCCAAGAATGGCCACCAAGGTCCCCAGACCTCAACAGTTTAGATTTATTTTTGTGGGGATATCTTAAGGCACTAGTGTACACAAGTCCCGTTAACACTGTAGAGGAATTAAGAGAATGAATAGTTGCAGCTTGCATACTCCACGGATATTTCAACGAGTGCACAATTCCATGAGAAGGAGGGCGGAAGCATGCATACAAAGTGAAGGGGGCCATTTTCAACAATTTTTGTAACCATTTCGTTGGTTTTAATGTTATGTTTATGTTGTCAGTTGTTGTTGTTCATTAGCCCTAATGTGTTTAATTTTTCCAAGTAAATTAATAATAATTAGAAGCTTAGACTTACAGGGAGTTATGCGAACTGGATAACCTAGATGACCCAAGGGAACTCCTGGAGCTTGGTCTGCCAATATGATGACATGGACTGAAAGGTATAAATTCTGTTGTGAAGTAAGGTCTTCCAAGTAGATGATGTAGGGGCCTATGGATATGAGTCAGAAGCCGCAGCCTTTTCAATTCACCATCCTGAAAACACAACTTAACTTAGAAATTAAAATGATATTTAATTATACCCTCAAGGAGAATCTGTTCTCCGATCGTCAAGGTGAAAACTGAAACGTTAAAAAACATTTCGCATTAGACACAATCACTCTTTGGAGAGATCGAGAATGAGGACCAACACAGATTTTTCCAAAATATTGCACTATGGCCCACAAACTAAAAAATCGTTACAATCGATGCAGTGGTTAGCAAATGTCGCAAGACGCGACGACAAAAAGCTTTGAACGTCCACAAAACATCTCAGATGTGAGTAGAAAAATATTTACTAAGAAAGTGTGTGCTTACTTTACTACTCTATTTTGAAGGTTTACTGCAAGTTTAGATTGAGTGTTTATATGATATACAAACATTGAGTTCTTTCTGCAAGAAAGAAAAGCGGAGACATTTAAAATCAAGCCTGGACCTGAAAATAGGCAGCCCAGATTTAAATTCAAGGATATATGCAAGCATTTGGGTCTAGTCATAAACGAAGACCTTAGTTTTCCTTTCCTATTTTAGGTTGAAACTGTCATATAGCAACAGAGTTCCACAGTTTTTTAACAAAAAATCGATTATGTGATTCATTAATTATTTCCATGTTTCCAATACAGCAAAGCGTCCTAAATATGTCACTATAAAAACAATATATTTTCAACATTCAGTAACGCAAACATTTTACAAGCATTTAATACTTTATACAGTAACAGACATTTTTATAGTTTATAGTATTATATATATATATGTACTTAATTTAGATATTTTTTATATTTCCAAATACTGGTTGAGTAGACTGGACACATTACACATTACACTTACTCGATATTTCGTGAGTGAAAGCTTTCACTTCATTCTTTACTCAACTTTTGCATTTCTAGTATTAGTAGTTTTCAACGTGCCTAATGAGCCAGTTATGTCAATTTAATAATAATTTTAAGAAAAATAAACTTAGCAGTTTCGAAAGTATAGAAAAGGATTTGACTGTGGTATAGAAATCTTGTAATGTTTTAAGCTTGATTTAGGCTCGTTGCGACCTGAGTTACAAAACTTTTTGTGCATTTTTTCTTCACTCGTTACTTGTTAACGAACTATATGAGTCCTGTCTCAGTGAAGTTGGACCAACGCCCCAAAACATGATATTTGTGAATTTATTTGGGGGCTAATTAAAAATGTATACTAACTGACATATAAATCCGAACACCCAGTTTAAATGGTTTTATTTTAATAAAATTTTGTATAAGTACTTAATGAAGCATAATAAGTAAATGATAAAAATTTCAAATTGATTGCACTGCTTTAAAGCTCTTTGACCTTTAATAATGTGTGAATGCACCCTGATGTGCTACGCATTCTCCATCGCGCCTAGGCATGCTTCTGACTAGGTGGTCAATGTCCTCCTGGGGTATCTCATTCCAGGCAACCACCAACTCCTCTCGAAGTGCTTCTAGAGTCTGAGGAGGACGTTGCAAATTGAGCAATCTCCTACCCATCATATCCCACACGTGCTCAATTGGGGATAAGTCGGGAGATCTTGGTGGCCATGGTAACAATGTGACATCATTATGTTGAAAGAAGTCTATTGTGACTCTTGCAACATGTGGTCGGGCATTTATCTTGTTGGAAAGTTGGATCTGCCAGGGTGTCAAGATAGGGTAAAAGATGGGGTTCTAGAACTTCGTGGATATAACGCTGCGCGTTCATGTTACCTCTGATGAAGATTAAAGGTGACCTGTAACCATAAACTATAGCACCCCAAACCATAACTCCAACAGTGTGATGAACATGTCTTTCAACAAAAAACTGTGGATTCCTCCTTTCACCACGTCGCCTTCTAACCCTGGCACGAGCATTGTGCATGCCTAAACAAAATCGAGACTCGTCACTAAAGACAATACTGTTCCATTCCTGATCCCAGAGTGACCGTTGTCTGCACCACTCAAGGCGATTACGTCGGTGTTCTCGAGTTAAAGGGATTACCCAGTGTGGCCGGTATGAAAACAAGCCAAAACTTCTCATTCGTCGGTAAACACTTCGCATGCCAATAGGTCTTCCGTGTTCTGCAAACCATTCATTTGCAATGGACCTGGTAGTGGAGAAACGGTCCCTTAAGGCCAATAATCTTAGGTGGCGATCTTCACGGTCTGTTGTTCTACGGCGGCGTCCAGTGCCCCTTGCGTACGGCCTTCTCGAAGCCATGCCTGTCAACACCTAACCACAGTGTCTACACTTCTTTGCACTCTAACTGCAATTGCCCAAAAAGAAAGTCCAGCTTCCCGTAGTCCCACTATACGGCCCCAATCAAACTCACTAAGTTGACGAAATCGTACAGGTCTCCGTACTCTAGGCATCGTAACCGATCGTAAAGGATGTCAAGAACCAAAATCCGCCAACGTTGATTCTTTACTGCGGCTGAAATATTCATTTTTAGAGCGTTAGTGAATTAAAAAAAGCAGTATAAAAACCGGAATGTCCAACTGATAAGGCTGAAAATTTTTTCACTTGTTATTCACAGTAAGATAAATACATTCACCAACTTTTATTAAAATAAAACCATTTAAACTGGGTGTTCGGATTTATATGTCACTTAGTATATTTCAAATATAATATTTTTGGTTTCTTTAAATGTTTATGGACATATAACGAAATCGACGCGGCTATTTTTAAAGCGCTTTTATTTCGAAATTATCTTCTTTGCAAAATCATTAGTAGATAGCAAAATACATGATGGAGACAACTTAAGTTGAATGATCTGTTTATTCGCTTCGATAAAATAAAGGTAGGCTTTTTGAAACAAATGATAACATTTTACGTTGCTAAGAAGCTGATTTTTGACATTTGAATCAGTTTTCAATCCATTGGTGTTGTTGTTAACAATTAAAACGGCTCATGGTAAAGCTGTTTCTGACGAAATAAGAAAACTGATCATTCACTTGCATTTAAAAGGCTTCCCAGATCGCTGACAGCGATAACAAATCGAGGTATACAGTTCAAAAGATTACTAAACTGTACAAAACAATGGGATCTATGGCTCAAAAACCCAGAACTGGAAGTCGCCCGCGTTAATCCAATATCAACGTAAGAGCCTTAAAATGGATTATCAAGAAAAATCGGCGTGCTAATTATAAAAGAATACAAATTATGGTCTTCGAACCAATGGAACTGCATTATTTGTAGTGATGAAGCCAGATTTGAAGTATGTGTTCGTGATAGTAGGAGTCGTGTCATAATAACTAAAGAAGAGTTTCAGAATAACTGTCTTAAAAAAAGTAAGTGTCAGGATTCTGTTATGATTTGGGGATCCAAGTGGAGTAGGAAACTTATACTTTGTGGAAGGTGTTATGAATGCTGATAAGTACATTAATGCGCTTCAAAATAACTCAATACCCCAAATTGAACAAATGCGTTTAAACAAGATGGTGCCACTTGCTATACGACTAAAAAAGACTGTGCCAAAAAACAATATTTCAGTTTTAAAATGGACGTCGAGTAGTCCAGATCTTTCGTCGATTAAAACCTTGTGGCATATCAAGAAGAACAAGCTCCGATCGAATCCCGCAAGAACCGTTGAAAAATTGCGAGCCCGGCTCCAAGAAATTTGGAACAGATTTACACCAGATGACTGAAAAACATTAGTTGACAGTATGTCAAGACGTATCGAAACAGTGATCAGTCCAAAAGGCGATGTACCGCAGTGGTGATTTGCTGCTATTTGGTTTTGTTGATTTTTATTAATCGGCAGCTTTTATGAATTGGTAAGATATTTTTTCTTGTTACAAAAATATGTAGTATTTTAGGCTAATAATAAATAAAAATATCGTATGGAATCAGAAATATATTCTAGTTTTTACGTGTCCGCTAATATGACAAATTTCAAAAAAAACTTACTTTTGATAGTTGGGCCAACTTCACTGAGGCAGGACTTTTAGTACAGCTTTAAAATTGTTTGTGAATATTCCACTTTTATGGAAGTATGAAGCAGGTGATTACTTGTTTTCTCATCACATTCTCTCGTCGAAAAATCTTTTGATTTTCCTAAAAACTCAATTTTCTGCAAAATGAGGTTTCACGAAAATCAAAGATTTTTTGAAGAGAAAAAGTGATAAGAATAAAAGTTATCACCCACCTCATGCTTCCATAAAATTGGAATATTAACATACAATTTCAGTCTGCATTCATTTTTTTGAACAAAAGTTGGTAACATTATCTTTTAGTCATCTCTATACACACAATGAAATAATCAGATGCGACCATAAGACCCCTGAAAATGAGCATTTTTACAGTATTTAAACATATTTTTTAAACTCGGTATCAATGAACTGCAAAGAAAATTTAGTAGATACCTTTTTTGGAAAATGAGAGAAAGAATGAGAAAAATATTTGGCTGTCGCAAAAAGATTTTTAGTAGTTGTTTACATTTTGCCTAACTTGTATGCAATGTTTTATATGTAAATGCGATTTTCATCTGATAACGTGAATTTCTAGTATTGTCATAAAAGAAATATCTTACCTTGAACTCAAGCAAAGCCTGCCTGATGATCTGACCTGTCAACTTCTCACAATATTCTATCATTGAGTAGTTGGGCCTGTCCTGAAATTCTGGAGGTGGCTCGATGGGCGACGCAGAATGTTTTGTTGTGAAATCTGTCCAATGAGGGCCCTTTTTCAAAGTATTGAAGTTTTCCCCACACATTATGTCAGACGAGTCATCAAGTGACTCATCTTGGGAGAGAGACTTTTCTTCGCAGTCGCTGTCCTGAAACTTAATACACTAATGTTTACAGTTGATAAAATATGGTATCACTCTTGGACAATCCTGTAGGACCTTTGGCCATTCTGCAGCTATGGTTCCCCAGAAGCCAGAAAAAAAAGGGATGAAATAGGTGAGCAAATGGAAGAGAAGTGGATATGTTTGAGCACTGTTGCTTAGTATATACTGCAGTACTTGGGTTAAAGGCAGACAAGTATCAAAATCAAAGTCTGAGAAAATTGAAACAGTAATTCTGGATTTTTTATAGTGATACTACGACATAATAAAAGTGATTGAATACTGCAAAGTTACATATCTTGATAGAAAGTCATTTACATGTGGTTTTGGGTCATAATTGTTATTGAGGACTAAAATTAATGACATTCCGTCTTTGTGTTGTCCATTAAAAACTAGTAACACATGATTTACTGTTTTTATACTCTGCGATGACAAATTTACTGCATTTTTTAGTATTTTTTATATGTCACATGAATACCACAAAAGTAAATCTTTACAACATCTAATAATTCAATTTAATAATCATATGATTACATTTAATAACTACATTCAACAAAAATAACTATATCAATAAACTAAAAACAGCATTTTCTCTTACATGTTAAGTTAAACAAAGTATATTTTTCAAAATTACTCTTTTGGAGCGAAAATAATGATTTATAACAATATTTCTATACACCGAAGTAGCTGCGCAGGAAGAAGCTTAAGTGCTAGGACACCGCGGCTGCTGTGATGAGCTCAAATAAAAATTTTCAATCCGATTTTTGGACTGCATAAATTTAGTAGAACTGGGAAAAGCCTCCTCAGGTAGATGGTTCCACAATCTCGATACCTGTGGGACAGAGGAGCGGTCGTATCGCCCAGTTTTGGATGTACGAAGGATGACACAATTAGGATGGGAGCCTAAAGTCTTGCGGCTCCAGGTCTTATCTGGGCATTCTACAGAGAGAGGAGACCATGTAGAGAAAAGTACTTCTTAGCCCTAAACAAATAGCCTAACTTTTTCCCAGCAGCTGCCGCTATTGACGAGATGTGCTCGTGCAAGATAAAGTCCTCGGTGATCTGGACTCCAACCAGCCGAAATGAACGGCTCTTTGGTAGGACTCGGCCATCCATCGAAACTGGATGAGTGCTAGGACGCTTCTTGTTTACAAAGAACATAATTCTTACATCAAAAAACTAAATAAGTGAACATCATAATATGTTATAGACAGCTAGATGGATATTTATCGATCACATTTAGGTAAATTAACACATGTGACAAGTCAAACAAGGAAACACATGATTGAAACATAAGACATATTAAAAATTACATTCATAACAGAAGTAAGACCTACAGATAATAATGACAATTTAGAATTTGTAAGATAAAAATCTTGTACAGTATAAAAGCAGCTCTGGCATAGCAATTTCTTTAATTTGTGCTTAAACTCATTATAATTTGTGATATTCCTTAGATATTTTGATAAATTGTTGAATAGGTGGAAGCAATTATAAAATACTTCATATCATGGTGTTGCTTTGTGTCTAAGATATTTTAAAAGCGCACTGCGTGTTGTATAGTTGTGGCTATTTCCAAGGAGAGTAAAGCCATCAGGGTTGGTTTTCACAAATGTCACACATTTCAATATGTATATGTATTTTTTGTACTCCAACTACCTCGAAGGCCTAAGGCCTAAACACCCATTGGGTACCGTGGGGCTATGGGGGATACAGGGAAAAGCTACACGGACTCTGGCGAGGGAACACGTGTGCATGCAACATGCACACATTCTGGCTCCCCCTACGAGATCCGCCGGGTGGTACCTCCACGTTCGACAGGCAGAAACCGTCTACCACCTACGGAGAATCACAACATCCATAGCCAAGAGAAAATTTTCTCCTGGGACGGGATTCGAACCCGCACAGCGCACGGCGACTAATCAGGAGACCGAAGAGTCTAGTACTGCGGCCACCGCTGCTGCCTTGATGATAGTGTTAGAATTTTGTGTGCTTTAAAATTTGTCTGCATGACTCATTATAGTTTAAACCAAAAATGAGCCTAATAATTTTCTATTGAGCTTAAAAGTACCCTTTTAATCTCAGTAGGCACTCCCCAAGTGACAATATTGAAGGACAAATGCCTGAAAACAAATGCATATTATATGCTCAAAAGACCATCCTGGCTTAGATGGGGTTTCATTTTGAAAATAGCAAAATATGCTAAATAAAATGGAAAAGAGGCAGTACTTGTAACATTCACAGAACAAAAGTTTAAAGAATACTTTTTTGCTTTACAAATTGATTTATACTGCGTTAATATGAAATATCTGACAAGGTGAAAATTTAACTATTTAGGTTAAATAACTTGATCAATGATATATTTTGTAATTATAATCATAAAAGACATGTATGAACATTCATTAAAGTTTTATTTTATCATAAGAATTATGGATGTAATAAAATTCTGCGTTCAAGTTTGGTCACAGCCATGGCCTTGAATGATTTACAAATTTGCTTAGCTGTACAGGGTGGCCAACTAAGAATGCGAGGTACTGTATCTGGGAACCTATCCATCGTAGAGGCATGCGGCAAAAAAAGTTATTACTAAAACAGCCAAGAGAAAAATCTGGATAAAAATACCCGATTTTTGGATTCGATGATAATCTGAACCTTTTTTGTTTGACAATGTTTGCTGAATCTTTAAAAATAAAGTGGTGTGGGGGTATTCAAAGGTTTCCGTACAAATACCCTGTATCTTCGAAACGGCTGGGTCGATTTTAACAAACATGCTATCGTTTTTAAAGTTCTGTTAGTTGCTCATGTGGCCGCTAGATGGCTTTTCCGACGTTCCGACAGAAATGGTTAATTTTCTGAAAAGGATTTCTGTATAAAATTTTCTTTGGCCTAAATTTTAGGTTAGGAACAACATATCGAGATGCGGTATTCGCGAGCTTATTGAGATATGATTTAGCTACTTTTTTAAAAAAAATCATACCAATGCATTTAATTTTGTTGAGAAAAGCAACCATTTCTGTCGCAATGTCTAAAAAAGCCCTCTAGCTGCCACATGTGAAGCTAGCAAAACTTCAACTATTATAACATTTGTAGCCCAAGTTTGTTAAAATCGGCTCTACCGTTTCGAAGATGCAGAAAGATACAGCAAAAATAGTCAGACATAAAAGGTTCAGATTATCCTCGAATTTAAGGATGAGGTATTTTTTGTTAGGTTAATATAGCAGAATTTACAGAAACATCACTTTTATAGATTCAAGATTGCAGTTACGGCCCCACCCGGCCATTTCAGAAACTTGAAAATATTTACCCAGATTTTTCTCTTAGACGTTTTATTAATATCTGTTTTTAGTAATAACAGATACAGTACCTCGCATTATTAGTTGGTCACCCTGTATAGTCCACTGACGCGCACAAGAGATGATTGTACAATTTCGCGTAACTATCGTGTCCCTGCATCTGGAACTTGACATATTTGCTGTCATGGTCTCTGTGTAGTGTCACAAGATCTTGACATATCATCAAAAAAGCGGTATCTCATGATTTTTCAGCGAACATTTGAATCGGTCAGAGCAAAAACCCCATAAATTTGTATTTTATAAAAGACAATAAAAGCTTTGTGGCTGACAAATAAACCAGTTTTAAAGTACTTTTTTGGGGTCAAGAGTTGAGTTGTAAGAGATAGAAATTTCAAATAATATTCGCAGATTAATGATCCTAATAATAATGGAAAAGGCCCAAAAAGCTGTTACATAGTATTAGCAGGAAATAGGGTTCGTGGTATACAACATAAGCAAAATAATTATAATCATATTTTTCATTGCTTATTATTGAAAATGACACTTAAATATACTAAGTGACATATAAATCCGAACACACAGTTTAAATGTTTTTATTATAATAAAAGTTGGGGAATGTATTTCTCTTACTGTAAATAACAAGTGAAAAAATTTTCAGCCTTATCAGTTGGACGTTCTGGTTTTTATACTGCTTTTTTTTAATTCACTAACGCTCTAAAAATGAATATTTCAGCAAAGAGCAAGGGGCACTGGACGCCGCCGTAGAACAACAGACAGTGAAGATCGCAGCCTAAGATTATTGGCCTTAAGGGACCGTTTCTCCACTACCAGGTCCATTGCAAATGAATGGTTTGCAGAACACGGAAGACCTATTGGCATGCGAAGTGTTTACCGACGAATGAGAAGTTTTGGCTTGTTTTCATACCGGCCACACTGGGTCCTCCCTTTAACTCGAGAACACCGACGTAATCGCCTTGAGTGGTGCAGACAACGGTCACTCTGGGATCAGGAATGGAACAGTATTGTCTTTAGTGACGAGTCTCGATTTTGTTTCGGCATGCACGATGGTCGTGCCAGGGTTAGAAGACGACGTGGTGAAAGGAGGAACCCACAGTTTTTTGTTGAAAGACATGTGTTCATCACACTGTTGGAGTTATGGTTTGGGGTGCTATAGCTTATGGTTCCAGGTCACCTTTCATCTTCATCAGAGGTAACATGAACGCGCAGCGTTATATCCACGAAGTTCTAGAACCCCATCTTTTACCCTATCTTGACACCCTGGCAGATCCAACTTTCCAACAAGATAATGCCCAACCACATGTTGCAATAGTCACAATAGACTTTTTTCAACATAATGATGTCACATTGTTACCATGGCCACCAAGATCTCCCGACTTATCCCCAATTGAGCACGTGTGGGATATGATGGGTAGGAGATTGCTCAATTTGCAACGTCCTCCTCAGACTCTAGAAGCACTTCGAGAGGAGTTGGTGGTTGCCTGGAATGAGATACCACAGGAGGACATTGACCACCTGATCAGAAGCATGCCTAGGTGCGTTGGAGAATGAGTAGCACATCAGGGTGCATCCAAACATTATTAAAGGTCAAAGGGCTTTAAAGCAGTGCAATCATTTTGAAATTTTTATCATTTACTTATTATGCTTCATTAAGTACTTATACAAAATTTTATTAAAATAAAACCATTTAAACTGGGTGTTCGGATTTCTATGTCACTTAGTATATTAACTTATTAACATGCCACATGTTTTAATTTTACATACTATAACTTGACGGGGTTCAGAGAAAATTTCTACGATATATAGCTTACAAAAAACACATTTCTATTGAGAATTTAGACTGTAATGCTCTTGAAAAGAAGTTAAGGATTGGATCCCTAAGAGCCAGGAGAGATTCAGCAGATATTGTTTTTGCTTATAAATTAATTCATGATGTTTACCACTGCCCAGACCTGCTTCTAAAGCTCAATTTTTATGTTTCTCCTAGGCGTTTAAGAGAACGAAGATCCTTTGAACCTTGTCGGCATAGAACTTTGTATGGCTCGAATAGTAGCATGGATAGGATAATGAGAAATTGTAATGACTGTGATATAGACCTTTTTAATACTTCACTATGCTCTCTCAAAAAGTTCCTTAAAGATAGAAATCTTAGCTAAAGTTTTAAAATGTCTTAATTGCTGGTGATGTTTGCTGTGTTGTTTAGTTGTTCAGTTTTTTTTAGTTTTTTTTTTTTTTAGTATTTGTTTGTAACTATTTTTATGCACGTTTTAATATTTTAATATTTTAATTTAGTAAATAGTCAAACTTTATGTTCATATGTTAGATACTTTATTTATGATGTGTGTGAATTTTATTAGGTTAAGATTGTACTTTTACAACCTGTAACCGAATGGGTTTATCCCGTAAATTTGTAAATAAATAAATAAATAAATAAATAATCTTTTAGGGAAACCCTGGCAAATCAAACACCTGGGAAAGCCAAATCATCTTCATACTATCTATATTATAATAATATTAAGCATATATTTAAAGAACCTTCTCTGGCATACAAATGAGGAGAAATGAGTTAATGATTTTGGTAGGAAACAAGACAGCTCTAAAACAAGTAATTTTGGACAAATCGGATAAGGCTTGTTTTTGATCAGTAGTTGCAAACAAATTATTGTCTTTTCATAACTTAAGAAACAACTAGAAAGAACTTTAAATAAGTTAAGGTTTAGTTATGCTTAAAGTTAACCTCAGCAATGTGATGCAACCAGGTGTCAGGTTCTTAGGTGAAGATGTACTAAAACTCAACTCTAAAGGGCTCTAACAGTTAACCAAGAGCAAAGGTCCTATAAACCTCTCTAACAAACAATAATGGATTGAAGCAGAAAAAACGTATTTTATTATCGAGTTAAGCCATCGATTAACATATTCTACGAGAGCCTAGCCAACCTCCTGTTATATCCGAGCCTTAAAAAAATTGTCCAATATAAGATAAGATACAGCAGCATCATTTATAGATAGTGTGCACCTTCATATATAAAAAGTAGAGCTGTGATAAATTCTCATTGTTGATGCTACAGTATCTCATTTTATCTCAGATATTTTTTTTAAACTCAGTTGTCAATACTAGCACTTACAAATAGGGCCCCAAATTTATCTCGACCTTTCTCTGCAGGTCAATGGTTATTACGCCTTATCAACATTATAATGTTTGATAAATAAAACAGATTAGTTATGTTCTATTCATCATTGTTTGTCAGAGCAGTCCATAGGACCTTTTCTCTTGGTTAAAGTCTTGTTAAATTAATTAGAGATTGGTTGTTGAAGAAAAATTATAATTTTGATTGGACCTTAAGTCGCACAATTTGATTTTGTTCAATGTGCGAGCCGCGGCCTTGTGTGCTTACGAACTTGCTCGACTGTGTAGTCTACTGATTTGCTCAACAAAGGGTTGCTATGAGATTTCGCTTGACTAATTAGTTAGGTTTCAAAAGACTTTACCAAGTACCGATTTAAAAGTATCGAAAGTGGTGCGCATTTTTATCGCTTAGCATCAAATAAAACATCTACTCTACAAAATCAATGCTTGTATTCACGATAAAAGCTTCTGAACCCTATTTCAGCACTAAGCTGTACTTACCTCGAAGGGTATTCTTCTGCCACCGTTCCTACTTTCACAACTACCGCTCCCACTAGAGGCTGAGCCATTGGTGAGTAGCAGACCACTGTCGTCGCTTAAAATAAAAGCATCTGACCAGGTTGAGCTCGATGGAGGAGATTCCATGACTCACGTAGTCTTCCTACACCATCGTCAAACACCGCGACGCACTCCACTCCAAAAGGTCAAGTGTGGTCTTTTACATTTCCAAGAATAACCTTAATGTGGACTAAAAACGGCTCGTTCCTTCTTGAACTCTAAATACGATCAGTTTTTATTCATTCTGTTTGCTATTTGCCCATTTGTTTTTTTATTGTGACATCTTGACAAGACGAAAGTGACAAGATAAATGACAAGAATGACACTTAGTACTTTTTTGACCACAGAACAGAAAACCTGAGAAGTTGAATTTCTTACGTCAGCGTCGTTGTTAAAGCGAGCCATACACATCAAAAACTAGACCGAATAGTTGGGACGCTGCCAGAATAATCTTTCATGCATTTCCCTTTCCCTACCGAGCGGGGCAGTGGCAAATGCTTGCCCCGGAAGTTGTTGTATTCAGTATAAAACTTCGTCCGTTCAAGTGATTATGCACGCGTTAAGGAATCCTTCAGTACAGATTGCGGGATGGTGGTACAACTCCGCCAACGGGTCAATTTAACATCATTAGGAAGGAAGGACAGGCTATGGCTTCGCCCCAATTCAAGGGTTCGCTATTATCCAAAAGGGCTGACCCACCTGGTGACGAGTCCTAGTTTTTCTCCCGCTTTTCATCATATGCCACTAGCCTGCTGGATCTCTTTCTGACCACGCATCCCGACTCTTATAGCACTGCCTGCTGTCCTGCTGTCTTCCCTGGCTAGCTCAGATCATGGTGTAGTGGAGTCTAGGCTCCGGTCAGAACCCGCGGTGACAGCAAACACTCGCCCAGACCTCAAAATTGGGCATTTCGGGCTTCCGACTGGGAGAGGATCAGAGACCTCGGCTTCACCGTTCTTTGAAGAGATGCTTACTTCTCTGACGCGAACGCTTCGGCTGTCGGTTCATCGATAACCTAAATTATCATACAGTGAAAGTGCTTAACCCAGGGTCAAAGGCCCACAGAACCTTCTTACAAAACCCCATTGTAGAGAACAGACAAGCAGACGTCGAGTCTAGACATAAATACAACCAAGCGGCCCGCAATGTCAAAGACCAGCTCGATATAAAAGTTGGGCATAGAGTAATGTCGCGGCGCAATATCAGTCGATCTTTCTAGACGCTGGCCAAGAGATTGAAAGGAAGCTCTTACAAGGTAGCCCTCCACCTCTTACGTGTCAGGATAGAGCGATTGTAACCGACTCAAATGCTAAGGCGGAAGTGCTTGCCAAGACCTTTGCTTCCAACTCAACGCCTGAGTGCCGTCGATTCCAAAGGTTCCCTACACTATGGGGAAAGTAACATTCAGGCACAAGACTGTAAGACGTCGCTCGATATCAACAAAGCTTCAGGTCCGGACTTGATTCCTGCCGTCCCTTCCAGATACCTTAAGAATACGGCACCTTTCCAGAAAACTGGAAATATGCTCATGTCTAACCCTTACCTAAAAAGGGATATAAGTCTGACTCTTACAACTACATACCTATAGCTCTGTTTTCTGTTATAAGTAAAAGGTGATGCATAGGTCCATAAATCTCGAGCTTCTGGACTACCTCTGTCGTCCCGGCTTCATTAGCGACAGGCAGTATAGTTAACGTCACCAACGATCCACAGGGGATCTCTTAGCTTACGTCACGCAATTGTGGAGTAACCTCATCCAGTCTTATGGTGAGGCTCATGTCGTTGCTCTTGATATCATGAAAGCGTTCGATCCAGCTGAGACACGCTGCCCTCTTTTGCTAACTTCCATTCTATGGCCTCCCAGAGAAGTTTTGCAGATGGGTGGCTGAATTTTTCTCTGGCCGCAAGGTATCTGTCGTAATTGACGTCAACGCGGATGTTCCCCAGGGATCGGTCTTGGCTCCGACACTCTTCCTCTTACATATCAATGACCTTCTTGCCTATACGATCAATCCAATTCACAGCTTTGCTGAAGTACTTTTCTCCGCATGACCTCCTCATTCTATACAAGGCCCAGATTAGATCTAGTCTCGAGTATCGCTCACACGTTTGGGGAGCTGCCGCCCCGTCTGCAACATTTATGCTCGATGCTGTCCAGAGGAGGGCGGTCCGACTGATAGAGATGACTCTTCTCTAACAGACAGTCTTGGACCCTGTCGAACCGGCGGGCCGTCGGCGATCTAGCTCTTTTCTACCGATTCACCAACAGGCTTTGCCTCTCAGAGCTCTCGTCCATGATGACGCCGCGCGATGTGCCTGCCAGACTGACCCGACTGACTTAGGCGACCCATCGTAACAGAGTCGAACTTCGTACATCCAGAACTGGCCGATACGACCGCTCCTTTGTCCCTAAGGTATGCATCTACGTACCAGTTACCAGTACTACTAACCTTAGGCAGTTCAAAAGTGGGATTAACAACTGCGCGGCTGCTTCGGCGTAAAAAAAACCTCAGAGGAGTTTTTAGGAAGATTAAATTGATCTAAGCACAATTATACAGGGTGTCCCAAAAGTCGACGTCAAGCCGAAACCGGGTGATAGGCAAAGTCATAACAGCTATCAGAAAAATATTTAAAAAAATTTTATGTATGTGTTTTGAAAATTATAGGTCTTTGAAAAAGATATAGAAATTTCACACCCTACGGCAGTCTGTCAACTCGTGTTACTACAAATATTAACTTTTTTGGATTTTATTTTTACAATGCAATGATGAATAATGCATCTTCAAACTGGTGTCTCAACCTTACTGCCAACTTTTCTCGATCAGGAAAAATTGCCACTTATTTCCCAACCAAGTATTCCAAAGTAAAATTTTGCTCAACTTTAACTGGCTGTACTGGAAAAAATGTCCTATGAGAGTTTGGCAAGTAACCTTAAAAGTTGGCGCATTTAATAACGATTCCAAAATGGCATAACACTTAGAAGATTACTCGTTAACTTATGCACAATTTTTATTTGAAAATAAACTGATGAAAATTTTTCAAAATTTCCTAATTAAACAGCGATTATGAAAACGCACAAGGACCCTTAAGGATAACTGTTTGCACAATAGTGGGCGTCAAAATGCTGCTGATGATGATTTACCTTTACAGCAAATGCTCAAACTGTTTTCCTTCAGCTGCAATACCAGCTTGACATCTTCTTAAAAAAGATTGGGTTATTAAACGAGCGAATCCACGGTTATTAACAAACTCAGCTGCTTCCAATAGTCTTTGCTGTAGCTCAGCTACATTTTGAATCGGCTTGAAATACACTTTTTCTTTTACAGTTCCCCAGTAAAAAATCTAAAGGATCCAAATCAGGTGATCGGGCTGGCCACGGTACTGTACCAGACCGCCTTATCCATCTGCCTGGAAAGTTTTGATCGAGATACTCTCTCACTGAGAGTGCATAGTGCGCTGGGCAGCCATCATGCTGAAACCACATGTCCCTGTAAATACTCAGTGGCACGTCCACCAATAAATTTTGTACATGATTTTTCAAAAAATCCAAATAAACTTCAGCAGTCAAAGTCTCTGGGAACTCAAACGGACCGATTATTTTACCATTTAAAATTCCTGTCCAATGGTTTATCTTGTAGCGATATTGAGATTTATCTTCTCTCATCAAATGTGGGTTTGCCACTCGTGTAAGTTATGCAGGTTCATGTACCCATCTTTCTTAAATGTGGTCTCATCCGATCATAAAATTTTTTCAAAGAACTGTGGATCTTTCCTGTGTCTTTCTAATATTGTGCGACAAAAAGCAACTCGGGGCTCATAATCCCGGGGCAGGAGAGGTTGAACACGCTGTATGTGGTATGGATGAAGCACATCACTTACTTGCTATTGCACACTTTGATACCGATCAGTACTCTCGTTTACTGCGCATCTTTACATGTTCGTGCTTGTTGATTTCGTACTGTTACTAATTTTGGATTCGTGAACTGGACTGTTGATCGCTTGTGATTTGGATTTCAACTGTTTAATTGCTGTTCAAAACAACATTTGCTTTCCTTAGACTATCCTTGATAGTGTGATTGTGCAGTGCCGCTATGTCCGTGTACACCGTACAAGAAAATGCTAACATGCACCTCATTTATGGGGAATGCAGATGCAACGCTAGTGCTGCAGCGAGACTTTACTGTGAGAGGTACCCGAATGCAGCTCGTCATCCAGATCATCGAGTGTTCACAAATGTGCACCGCTTACTATTCTCAGAGGGCCAACTACCAAACCAATCACACGGTGAGGGAAGATCTTTCCTTTCTTACGAAGACGTGGTTCTAGGAGAAGACCCGAGTACTTCAGTGCGTGCAATAGAACTGAAAACAGGTGTGCCCAAAAGTACAGCTCATAGAATCTTGCAAAACAACATGCTCCATCCATACCACGTACAGCGTGTCCAAGCTCTTCTGCCCCGGGATTAAGAGCCCCGAGTTGCTTTTTGTCGCACAATGTTAGAAAGACACAGGGAAGATCCACGGTTCTTTGAAAAAAAAATTATATGGTCAGATGAGACCACATTTAAGAAAGATGGGTACATGAACCTGCATAACTTACACGAGTGGCACGTAGCAAACCCACATTTGATGAGAGAAGATAAATCTCAATATCGCTTCAAGATAAACCATTGGACAGGAATTTTAAATGGTAAAATAATCGGTCGGTTTGAGTTCCCAGAGACTTTGACTGCTGAGGTTTATTTAGGTTTTTTGCAAACTCATCAGAAAATTTATTGGAGGACGTGCCACAGGGACATGTGGTTTCAGCATGATGGCTGCCCAGCGCACTATGCACTCTCAGTGAGAGGGTATCTCGATCAAAACTTTCCAGGCAGATAGATAGGGCGGTCTGGTACAATACCGTGGCCAGCCCGGTCACCAGATTTGAATCCGTTAGATTTTTTTTACTGGGGAACTGTAAAAGAAAAAGTGTATTTCAAAATGTAGCTGAGCTACGGCAAAGACTATTGGAAGCAGCTGAGTTTGTTAATAACCGTGGATTCTCTCGTTTAATAACCCGATCTTTTTAAAGATGTCGAGCTGGTATTGCGGCTGAAGGAAAACAGTTTGAGCATTTGCTGTAAAGGTAAATCATCATCAGCAGCATTTTGACGCCCACTGTTGTGCAAACAGTTATCCTTAAGGGTCCTTGTGCGTTTTCATAATCGCTGTTTAATTAGGAAATTTTGAAAAATTTTCATCAGTTTTTCTTCAAATAAAAATTGTGCATAAGTTAACGAGTAATC